GGGTTGCCCGCTAAGGTGCACTGTTCAGGATCTGTTTAGCGAACACTTTCATGCATTGAATCTGAGGATCACTTTTCTAATATTTGAGTGCATTCGTGGGAATAATGCGGATACACTTAGGGGTCAGTGAGGCACGCTCTTGTGCGGCATTCTAGAGCTCGTAGACAAATATTGAAAGAAAAACGTTTCGAATTCCGTTTTAGAGTTCAGCATCGATCTCATCATTAGAAAATGCTACAAGTTTCTTGACACCTTCATTTTATGAGAAATGTTGAGTCCTTCGCGATCCGGATTGCTCATATTCAGCGTTCACAGCTGCAACTTGAAACATGCATTTTGTCGCAGCTTTTGTTCACATGATGTTTGGGATAAATTTATGCTTTGACGGATGCACCTGTAAATGAGTAAGGGAATGCAAAGACATTACTAGTGTGTGTGCGTTGGAGAGAAGGAGGCGAAAATGTGACTTTTATTATTGCGACGAGAAAAGAAAAATAGAAATTAGTCACCTTTTGATGTTATTTTTCCATCGTCTTTTTTGTCAGCTACAGCTAAGCGTAAATTTGTTTCATTTGACCACAGTCCGCAGAGATGACTAAAACAACAACGACTTCGAAAGAAGAACGTCAGATTCTTCGTCATCCCCAACAAGGTGATGCCACTGAATTCTACTGGGCCTGCAGAAATGGGAATATGGACAGAGTGAGAGAACTTCTAGAAGCGATTCCTTACACCGAACTGAACCGTCTAGAACCGAATGGAAGCACCCCTCTTTATGCTGCTTCATTCTACGGTAATACTGAAATTGTGCGTCTTCTTCTACAAGAGCATGTCGACGAGATCAAGTGGATCGACATGGACTAACTGCGTATGAAGTAGCACAAACGGAAGAAATACGATGTCTCTTTCACCGACCAAACGATGCCAAAGGATTTTGTGCAGATGAGAATATATCTGACACATTTGACGTGATCAGGCGAGGAGAAAGTGAAGGACAAGATAAAGACTTTGTTAAAGATAAGTGGCTCGAGGGACATACAACTTCAGACGATATAGAAAAAGCTAAGAAAAAGGTGAATGTAGGGAAAATGTTCTTTCAATCCAGTTTAATAATGGCTGCGTGGACGATGGGCCGCAAATATGCGACCGACGCACGGATCATAGAAAAGATCAACAGCATCTTGTTAGAACATGTGACTCCGGCTCATTCTGAATATGAGAAATGTTTGTCTTTGATGAACAAAACATACAAAGAAGGACGACCCGAATATTTACTTCGATTATACTCGTTAGAAACACCATTTTACCGGACACTACCCGATGTTCATAAACACGTAGAATATGCATTTCAAGGATTGTTATACGTACTACTGAGGAAAATAAAATCTTGTTATTTTCAGGGTGTATCGTACCGTGGTGTTAAGATGACGAACGAGGATTTACGTGGCTATCGTTGGACATTCAGAAGTGCGGGTGTAATTGAAACACGTACATTCTGTTCAACATCATCCGATCGAGGAGTAGCTGAACAATTTGCAGACACATCGACGACAGATGTCGATGACAAGGAAAGTGTTCTGATGATGTTCCACTTCGGTGAAAAGTGTGATACGGCAATCAACTTGAACAAACTGTCACCGGATCTGCCGTGTATTTCGGAATACGAAGATGAGGCAGAAGTCCTTCTGTTACCACTTACATTCTTCAATGTGAAACAGATTGAACAGACTTCGTCTTATTTAGCAATTTCTCTTGAGAATGTACCATCCAAACGAAGATCTCTGTTGGAGATTCACTTTTGAATAAAATCAAAAAGTAATTTTTTTCTTCACTACAAGTATTTGTGACGGTGTGAACAGGAGCGCGTCAACCCATGCCTTTTAATAGGGTTCTGAAGCGTTAGCGAGCTTCGTAAGTCGAAGATCAGCCTGCCTTTGCAGTACCTACCATCTTTTTTTTATTAACATATTTCGTTTTGGTCTATCGACGGCACTCCTTTAGATTTAAAATCCGCCGCTGCATCATCTTCTGGCAACTTAGTCTTTCAAAACCTTATGTGGCTCTCACGTTCCGGTGAGTAAGGTATAAAGGTTGAGGGTATACCTACTGGAAAAGTGTAGAGGGGTGTGGATACAACTGTCTTGTTAACGTA